AAAACTCACTCCAAAGACACTGTCTTTCATGAACCCCTCAAACTCGTCCTTGGTGAAACCTGATGAGGCATTAACTGGTAGCACTGAAATGAAGAAAGTCGATCAAGAATTCGTTTGCATCACGGTAAGTTGCTCTTAGAGATCAGAAGTCAACAGCGCACCTTTCACTTCGGATCCAAAACTGACATCCTTATCAGCGCCTTCTAAAGTCTGAATCAGCACAACGGTCACATCATGTCCAGCTCGAGCTAGAGTTTCTGAGACTCGCTTATTCCATCCGACCTAAAACCGCTGGCTTATTTATGGTTACGAAAAGCTGAATGTTATTCTTGTGAGGTATCTTTTACTGTGCGACTAAAGGAGCTTGATAAGTGAACAACAATATCACACAACAGTATCAGTATTCTGGCTCCATAGGGTATACACGTTTACCTCTTCTTCTTCAGGATATAACTACGGCCATTTTTCCCGATGAATGACTGATCGGGTATTAATGTAGGGTGTGAATGCCGGCTAATTTTAAGTCGGTATGCAGTGTGTCGAGCCAGCGCTGTTTGGGACGCCCTTTTGGCCGCTTTCCTGGTACCTCGAGTTCGAGAGCAGTTTTACGGACGGTGTCAGCTTTCGTGAAAAACGTGCCTTCGTGCGAAGTACGTGCCCGTACCATCGAAGGCGCGTTTCGCGCAATTTCTCTGCTATGGGGGCTACACCATACTTCTTGCGCACGACATCGTTACAAATGCGGTCCGCTCGCGTGACGCCCGCCGTCCAGCGCAGCATCTTCATTTCCATCACACCAAGGCGAGCCTCAACTTCTTTGTCGGGCCAGCACTCTGCACCATATAACGCGACAGGTTGGACGACAGTACCATAGATTTTTGACTTTAGGCGCTCTGGCATTGTCTTGTCGCAAAGGATCCACACCATGGTCGCCATTTAGTCCATGCGCATCACTCGTGCGCCATTCCGAGTTCAGACTGCCATCGGACGCAAGTGCTGATCCGAGATACTTGAATGTTTCCGTGCGCTTGAGCACCGTGTCATCGATTTTAATGGAGCCCTGCTCATTTGGGTCGGTGGTCAGGTACTCGGTCTTGTTGACGTTCAACCTGAGTCCAAACCTCGCCAGACGCTCGGCCCAAGCTTGCACCTGCTGTTCCAGTGCGCTCTTATCTTCACAAGCAAGCATCACATCATCAGCGTAAAGCAGGGTCCAAGGCACTTCCTTCTGAAGATCTTGTGATATGGCATCCATGACGGCAACGAAAAAGAAGTGGAGAGCGCAGAGCCTTGATGTACCCCGACGGTGATGGGGAACTCCATTGAAACACCCGCTGGTGAGCGAACTTGGCTCCCTGGGCATGAGTAAAGGATGCGCACCCACTCGATTAGCTCTTCGGGCACGCCATGCCGCCTCAAAGCGTACCATATAACGTCACGTGGCACACGATCGAAGGCCTTCTCCAGGTCTAGGAAGGCTACATGCACGGGCTTTCGCTTCTCACGGTGTTTCTCCAGCAATAGGCGAGCGGCATGTATGGCGTCGACGGTGCTACAACCCGCCACGAAGCCACACTGGTTGGTGGAAAGCTGGACGATATCACGAACACGGGCGTCAACAATTCGCTCGAAGATTTTCATAGTGTGCGAGAGAAGGCGAATTGGACGGTAGTTCGAGCACTCTGCCGGGTTGCCCTTCTTCTTCCAAATCGGGATCGTCACGCTCTGCTGCCAGTCCTTAGGCACCTTCTTCTCTTCGACGATCTGGTTGAAGAGTTTCGTCAACCAACCCGCAGAAAACCAGCGTTGTGACTTCCACAAATCAGCTGCGATGTCGTCGGGGCCTGTTGCTTTGCCGGCCTTCATCTTCCTCAGAGCAGCTTCGGTTTCCTGTACGGTAATCCTCTGAACGGGGCCATATGTTGGTGCGGTACAGGGTATAGCGGGATGGGCGAATTCCACGGTTGAGATGCCCTCGAAGTATTCACGCCATCGTTGCAATACCCTTCCTCGGTCCATCAGAAGTTGCCCATTCTCATCACTTATGCCAAAGAACTTCTCAATGTCTTCGGTTTGGCGATGACGAGATTTGGCAAGTCCGTACAGGTACCGCTCACCGTCGCGCGTCTCCAGCTTCTTGCTGATATCATCGAAGTGAGCGGCCTTCGCAGCAGCCACGGCCGTCTTTGCCACATTCCTCGCTTCCCGATACTGCCGCCAGTTGTCAGCCGACTTCTGCTCGAGAAACGCGTGATAGAGCCTCTTCTTTTCTCGAACCTTCGCTTTGACATCATCCGTCCAGAGCCACGCGTCTTTGTCAATCCTCCGCCGTCCAGGCTTCGTTGTGCCGAGTTCGGAGCGGGCGGCCTGGATTATAGAATTAACGGCTTCGTTCCAGGTCTCCTGAACAGTTGTGACTTCAGGTAGTCGAATACGAGAAATCACAGCTGCCTCCCGCTCTTTCAGCCGCCACCACTTGATTCTTTCAGGACCGCTTCGTTCAGCTACCTGTCTCCGCCCGCTTGGGAGCAACGAGTCTGAGCGTGCAGATCAGTGGGCGGTGCTGCGTGGCAACGGTTTCGTACGGTACTACCTTGGCGTCTGTCACGAGTGATTGGTTCGCCATGCTGCATGGGAGTCGAAGTCTATTTGTGTCTTGATACTCCCGCTGTAGAACGTGATGAGATGGGAGTCACGTTTACGGAATCTTGTGTTCAGAATGACGAGGTTATGCGACTCTGCATACTCAAGGACTCGCTCACCATCGGCGTTCCGTGAACCGTAGCCGAAATCGCCATGTTGCAAGCATAGCCGTCTTTTGCACGCCACGTGCCCGTTTAAATCGCCGGCTACAATGATACCGTCTTTTGGTGGCACTTCAGCCGTCTTCTCGTCCAGCAGAGCCCAGAACTCGTCCTTGGACTGCTCAGAGCATCCAGTTTGTGGGGCATATGCAGAGAAGAAGTGGTACAGTCGTTGTTCAATAGCGACAACAATCTTCATCAAACGGTCGTCGAAAAGAACTACGCTCATGATCGAATCGCGGAAATCGCTGAGACACGATCACGGCCACACCACTTGTAGTTTTCGGCCCGCCACAAAGAACGGCTTTGAAGCCGAGACCTAACTCTTTCGACTTGCAACCAGCCCATCTCGTTTCTTGCACGGCACAGAGGTCGATCTTTCTACGCTCTAGGGCTTCTGCTAACTCGTACGAGCGTCCAGTCAGCGTCCCACGTTCAGCGTCGCAATACGAGCCTTTGACACACTGCACGTCTTTTGGACTAGCCTGGTTGCCCCCGATGCCGTCCTTGCAACGAGGACCCTCGCATATTTTTCACACTCGTCGGGCCTTGCGAGTGCGCGTCGGCTCCCGCGGACGCCGTAGCATTATCTCGAATTTCATAAGGCATAGTTAAACATGATGATGTGACATGGGGTGTTCGTAAGCCGGCCCGTCACGAAGGCCTGTCGCCTGCTTTCGTGATTCGTCCGCGGTTTCTGCTCTAACGCAAAGCGAGCAGGTCCTGTGCCACCATTGAGGAACGGACTGTCACCACCAGCGTATACACGATTTACTGACCTAAGTTATTTAATATAGCATCAATTTTGAATTGTCGGGAATTGTTGAATTTGGGGAAGGCAGCCTCCGTCAGAGTAGTACTCCCTGGTTCTTCTTCAGGGGCATTTCGGCGACGGGGGGGAGGTCATTTTGCACTTCTGCCTACTTTCCATCGACGTATCGAGAAATCTAGAGAGCTATTTCATGAGCTTACAAGAGCTGACATGCTTTAAGTGGTGGCTCAAGGCTGTTCCAAGCTTCACGAGCTCACGGGACTTCACTGGAGTGAGAGTTGTCGGAGCGGAGAATAACTACCTTGCCGACAGAGTGGACAGCAGCCGAAAGTGTCAAATGCATCCTCGCGTCTCCGAATCCCCTCCCCTCCTTCCCAGAAAACTATAAACACTTAAACCTTTCGCTCTGATCACTTCGTTACTTTCAGAATGCGCACTAGGATAGAATGTGTGAAATGAGTGGCGTTGATAAGTTGAATCGCCCATTCCCGACCCCGAGCAAACCTTTTCTAGCACAGCCACTCCAGCTATAGTGGGGCTCTAGGGCTCAGCAGCGAGTGTGAAGTTGGGAAATTGAGTAACAAAGTTTGTTAATCAAAAGGACAAATGTCTATGAAAGTATCTATGAGTTTGCCAGCGGCCTCAAGAATTCTGGGAAATTATATAAACTGTAGATATTATGGATAAAACATCGGCTCACTTTCAGTATGCCGCTCACTTTATCTGAGCGGAGTAGGCGTGGCCATTTGGACATTCGGGGGATATTCAGTTCTGGCGACACTGATCAACTTTTTCAGGTTTTGTGTGAGAGACATGGACTAGTTTTGGTGATTAGAGACATGACCACAATTGTGTCAAAATGAAAATATCTCTCCAAAAGCACAACCACCACCATGCTTAGTTGAAGTACGCAGCCACGCCTACCGCATCTCAGAGATTTAGAGTAGTATGCGAGTTTAGGTTCTCATCAAGATCGTTATCAACTTTGAACCGCCTTATTTTCAGCTCGAAAGGTAACAGATGGACCTTCTTGGTCGGCATCTGCAAGTCTCAGCCCTCATAGCCTCCATGATCCAGAATTCGTCCCAGTCCCCGTTTGCTGAAAGGCTTCTGACTCTACAGGATCTGAAGAAGGCGACTACACTAGAAGGTAAGCCAAAGTTGGTAAAAATCATGGTGTGGTTGAACTAGCTTATATAGATGATCAGTAAAAAAAGATGCCGAGATTTGTAGAAGGTAGTACGTGGACATTTCACTTACTTGACTGTTAGAGATATCCGGAGCGAATATGACGATTTTGTAAGACGAGCAGACTGTTGCGAGTAATAATAACCCATAAAATGTGGTCGTCATCAGGGTTGGAGTTCAGCCGAATTTGATCGACCGTGATGCAATCAGGTTCAAAGGTAGGAGGTCCTCGTGATGTGCGGACTGTACCCATATCGTAAGGTCTCACCCGTTGATATATGGTCGATACAGAGGCCACTGATAGGAGGTGTCGACGCAAACTTCCTCTGCGATAAGCGCGCTGATGAAAGTTCGGGGTTCATTTTTTGGCGCTAATCCATTGTGAAATAATCACTATGAGCCGATAAGAGTTCCTGTGACTGACATTAGCAGTAGGTAAAGAAGAGTTGTAAGCAAAGCAGAACTCTTCAGGGGCCTATGGCCCACTCCGCCATGGGGAAAATTTTGGCAAAATGCAAAAATTTCCCTTGGAAGCTCCCCTTCTGGTACTCCCTCTTACCCTTATCCTAGCTATTGCCTTCTTGAACATTCCCAACTTCCCCACCCTTTTCTTTAGATTTTTTTCAAGGACCCGTCAGCTAAATCGAGCGAGGAGGATGGGCCATATGGCACACTTGATTCAGGAAAAAAAACCGAGAAACTGAACAACATTTTGCTTAAAGGCAGTAAAGCAATACGAGAGTCAGGTACGGTCGTCCATTTGTGGGCGGGCGGGCGTGGTGGGCGCTCGGGTCGTAATGTTGTAGCTCGATATGGCCCTTCTAAGGGTGCCTCCCTCAGAAAAGGCGCTATGCAGCACCTGCTTAGGGTCGCGGAATCCTGACCTGCCAGGCGGTATCAGTCCTACTCTTCTTAGAGATTTATCGTGCCAACTGCCTTTAAGGGCGAATATGAGGCAAATGGGACCCCTTTTCTATGGCAATACGACCCCCATCGCTAGGTATCCCCCTGGCGTGCGACGTGCTTTAGTGGTGCCACAAATAGAGGGAAATGAATAAAATAATAGGTTGGGAAGAAAGTGTCATTTTGTGATTTGTTTTCTCTTTATTATGTTCACACTCGACATGAAATAAAAACTAATCAATAATATAATCGCCATTGTTAGCCACTACAGTGCTCCACCTGATGGGCAACTCAGCTATCCCCTTTCTCCCAGAACTAGGCTGCCGAGCTCGGAAGAAGTAGGGCAACTTCTCGATTGATGCCATCAAATTCGCTGAAGGTTTTCTTACCTAGGAAAGCCTTGAGGGAGCGGAACAAGTAGTAGTCGGAGGGGGCTAGGTCTGGAGAATATGGTGGATGGGGAACGGTCTCCCAGCCTAGCTCCTCAATTTGCGGTGGGTCTCTTTAGCCACATGTGGTCTGGCGTTATCATGGAGGAGGTGCACCGAAGCTCGTCTCGGCCGCTTTTCTCGAAGAGCTTGCGCGAGTTGGGCGGCGTAAACGGTAGCGGTAACCGTATGCCCTTGCGGAAGCAGCTCGTGGTGCAGCATGCCCTTCGAATCCCAGAAGCAGCAGAGGAGGACCTTCTTGGAGTGCAGGTTCGATCTGGGTTGCGTAGGCGGGTCTTCTCCTCGAGGGAGCCACATGGCACGACGTAGGTTGGAATCATAGAGGACCCAGCTTTCATCTCCAGTCACCATATCTTCCAGAAACTCCTTCCGGTTACGGTGTAGAAGGAGGATCCGACAGATGCTCACCCGGGCGTACGCCGCGGGCGTGCCATCTGTAAGAGCATGAGGTATCCATCACGTGAGGACTTTTCTGTAGCCAAGGGCCTGAAGGCGGCTCAGAGCTGTTGTATGGCTACACCCTAGCCTTGTCGCAATACTGCGCGTGGTAGCCTCTGGATCCTCTCTGACAGTTCGAGAACGGCGGAATCTTCTACGCCGCGAGGGCGTCCCAGACGAGGTTTGCCTTCGAAGATCGTCTCTCCTTTCGCGAAGCGAGCGAACCAACGGTGGACAGTCCTGACGGTGTGGTTGTCCCCAATGCACAGTTGATGTTACGGGCCGCTGCCGTCGCTCCAGTGCCGCGGCGCCACTCATAGAAGATGATCACTCGAAGCTGCTCCAGTGAAACTGACATCATAAATAAACACAGGGAAGAGCAGGAGCCTTGATATACCTCTTGTGGAAAAGCTTCGAGAATGTTCTACAACCTTAGCATGTTACGTCATGTTCGAGCTTCGAAGATCAAAAACTGTAGGCTATCTAAAAACACTGACAGGACTTTCTTTCCAACCTATAAAACTGA